TCCTTAACTCCAGGGGAAACACTGAATAAACCACCCACCCCTTAACCTGCCAAAGTTGAGATTGAAAGTATAAATAAGCCTGGAGATATTGGGAGTCATCTAAGAACACAAGGGTAGACTGTCGTATTAAGAAATGTGGAGAGCAAGATCAAGCCCTAAAATGCTGTTTGAAACTCTCCCTCCACCCTTGACTGAGTACTCCTGGGCTCACAGCTACATGCACTTGTTTTGTCCAAGTTAGCTTGGGTCACATGTTGTCCCTTGCAACTGAGTTCTAATTGAAACAACCTGGGATGCTGGTCTGGTGCCACTGGGTATAACAATCCCAAAGCCTATAACCCGTGGAGCACACCCCAGTCCCAACATTTGCTGTTACATAATAATCCATGGGGAAAAATAAGAGTTGCATTGTCCCATCCAGCCCAGTACCTTGTAAGTTTTTTTTTTTTTTTTTAACATGAAGTCAGGAACCAGTTGACAGATTTCATCAGGAAAGCCATCGAGTCACCATCCAATTGCCCACATTGTTGACGTACTGTCCCTGCTAACACTTTTCTCTTTCACCAAAGGTTCAATGTGTCCTGGGAAGAAGTGATGTCTGTTTTAGTTTTTCCATTAGCTAGCTGTGTGTTACTGGAGAAAATATTTCATCTCCAGGTGCCTAAATATCCTCATCTCTGAAAGGGACAAAAAGAAATAACATTGTCTTACCTTCAAAAACTTATCACAAGTGACAATAATCTATATCTGTACATACAAAAATGGTTAAATTTTTTTGCCCTTAAATTGATTTAAAATTTTATTTTAAAATGATTTAAATATAAGGCCAATAAAAGTCAAAGGATAAAAATGTGCATTTACGTAGTCCAGGAAATTTTTTTCAAATTGAATAACCTTAGATATGGTGGTCAGCTGACAAGTTTTTAACAACAGGGTCTGTGAGATCTGATCTACAACACTGATGGATTTCATGGTGTAAATACTCCTCTGTGGCCCACTTTAGTCTACCAACCAGCTTGCAAAATTCCTGAATATCAGTTTTTATGGAGCTGTACGAATCTGCACCAGCATAACCCAACTCCGGAATGTTGGGTCCCCTTAACCTCACCTGCCTCAGTATCTTCAGTGTTTGTTTGCTTAAATAGCCTCTCAAGTGAACCTGTCTTCTGCATGACTCCACAATATCATTACTTTTTATTTATCAGTTAGGTGCATCCTGCATAAGCTGTTCACATGGCTTTCTTGAAAGGCATCTTGGGTCTCCCTGGTGGCCCAAGGGGTTAAGTCTCAGCTCTATGGAGCTATCTACAGACACTGCAGTGGCCAGGGAGTCACCAACATGGTGCAGCAGACCTCTCCTGTGTTGCCCGCTGCTCCCCTCAGCAGTGTATTTCAGTCAATCTGCTTGTTCTGCTCCCTACTCTGTCTCTGGTGAATCCTCTTACTTCCTGTACCTCTGGCCTACACCCCAGCTCTTGTATGCATAAATAAATAGAATAAATCTTTTTTTTTTTTAAATGGCATCTTGCTGCTTTTTCTTCTTGCTGTGACATGCCCAGGACAGCTCTCAGCATTGAAGGCTAACTGATCTTCAGTTGCATTAAATTCCTTTCTTGTTCTATATATTTCTATACCTCACATGCAAGGTGTTTTTTCTGGCTCCTTTTAGATAAACATACATTATAGTATATGGATCTGGAGATATATTTGAAATAGATGACCACATCATTAAGTTTGTACAAGGATGACCTCAGACTACTGCCTTAGATTTTTTTTTGTTTGTTTTGTTTTTTTTTTTGTTTTTTACTGCCTTAGATTTAAATGATGCTCAAGACTGTATCCAGTAAATCTCAGTTGCTCTTAGTTTCTTTATATCTCTTTGTGAATGACTTAAAACATGATTAAAATGCTTCTCATTAAGCAGCCTGTAAGGCATATTTTCTAGGAGCATGTGAAACTGTCACGTCTTTTCTAACCTAGCACAAAGCTCAGTTTTGTTATTATTTCTGATAATAACAAAAACAAATGTCAGGAATGCACTCTCTCTCCTATTGACCTTGGGCTGGATTCTATACCGGCCATGGGGACATCATTAGTTTTCTGGGAGCATATGTGTTTTCTTGCCGTGATAAGTAATCTCTGGGAATGTTGAACTTCTGACAGTGCTAGAGGCTTCATGTGAACACACTGGATCAATAAGCAGAGGGGAAGTGGCCAGATGGAAGAGCAATGACATCAGGAGACAGCTGATCTTGTGGCGTGGATTCACAAATCATGGTTTCAAACCAGCTAATGAACGCAGGTGACTTCTTCAACCAGGGGCAGCTGGGCAGGGCCTTCTGCTAGGTCTGAGTTATCTGGGTTGTTTTGTAATTAAAAAAATCAACTGATATTTGTGAAATGATATTATGTACATGGTTATTTATTGCAGAATTGTTCTTGTAAAAGGTTGGTGATCCTATCCAAGTTACCTTCATACTGTGGAATAGCTTGCAGCCAGCAGGACAAAAGAATGAAGGATCTATTTGTGTCTTACATGGAAAGACTTCCTTATGAGTGCACAACATGGACTTTATAATGCTACCTTGTGCATAAACAGTGGGGGAAAAATGAAGGCAGAAAAACAAGAAACCTCTGGAGTTAACCGCTGAAGAGGGAAAATGAGAGCCTGGGAGTAGTAATGAGAGGTTATTTTTCTCCACATGCCTTTTCAACCATTTGCATTTCCTATGCCAGCATGTTTTACCTACACACACACACACACACACACACACACACACACACAAACACACACACACACATGTACAACGTACTTTTTTTTTTAAAGATTTATTTATTTATGCATACAAATACTGGGGTACAGGCCAGAGGTGCAGGGAGGGTGAGAAGATTCACCAGAGACAGAGTGGGGAACAGAACAGGCAGACTGACTGAAACACACTGCTGAGGGGAGCAGCAGGCGAGACAGGAGAGGTCTGCTGCGCCATGTAGGTAGCTCCCTGGCTGGCTGGGGATCGAACTCTTGCTGCAGAGGCTGCAGATATCTTCATAGTGCTATGCTTAACCCCTTGCACCACGAGGGAAGCCCCAAAGTACATTTTTTAAGTTAACTGTATTATTGTGAGAATATATACATAGTATTCACTGGAACCATTCATAAATGTACACTTCAGTGACCTCAAATACACTCACAATGCTGTGTACTCATCATGCCCATCTATATGATGATGAAATCATTTTCATCACCTCCCACAGAAACTCTACCCCCGTTAAACTATCACTTCCAGCCCCTAGTAACCTCTACTTTGTATTTATGAATAATTGCCCTATACCAAGTCCTCCATATGTCCTGTGACTGCTTAATTCACTGTCCAATAAACACTTTTTTGGAGACATCTACCTAGTGGATACATAGAGTTGTGAAAGTAGTTCAAGTCTTTAGAGAGACCAGATCTTGTGAAATGTGTGGACGTGCTCTGGATTGGATACACCAGCCTCTGATGTTTCCTAGAAATCCTGTCGTAACTTTTAAAAGGTTAACCAATAGCCCTGTTAACAAATAGAGGGGCTGATTAATGGCCTCCAGGAACAGAAAACAGGAAAAATAGCCACCATTTCTCACACAACTGGATTCTTTCACTGGGTCCCTAAGGGCTTTCAGAGGGTTGAGGAATTTTTTTCTGAAATTGTATGCAAATTTGTCTTGTGCTAGTAGCCTTTCCGGAGAGTTCTTCAGAATCAAGATTTGAGCTGAAGAAAAATTTATTTATTTTAGATTTATTTCTTTTTATTTATTTATGCATACTAGAGCCGGGGTGTAGGTCAGACATGCAGTGGGTAAGGATTCACCAGAGACAGAGTGGGGAGCAGAACAGGAGAATCCACTGCAATACACTGCTGAGGGGAGCAGCAGGTGAGACAGGAGAGGTCTGTTGCACCATATGGGTCAGCTCCCTGCCCTGGAATTAAACTCATGCAGCAGTGGCTGGCCATAGCTTGATAGCACTGAGACTTTAACCTCTGTGCCACCAAGGAGGCTCTGAAGAAAAATTTAAGAAGGCACAGTCTCAATGCTAAAAGAGATGCTTAATGCTGTGCCCTCCCATGAAGCACATGTAGATTTTATTCATCAGCTAGCCAAGTCTCTTGCACAGACCTTCCCAAGGAAAGCTGGGGCTTAAAATACGATCCTTGTATCTCCATCATTAATAAAAATCACATGGAATACCTGATTTGGTAACACACTGAAAGACCATAGATAGCATCACGATATGTAAATAGAAAATTTTTACATAAGGAGAGCAGAGTCTCACTTCATTGCATAAATATTCACAGAATACCTCTGTGGGTCAGGGACAGTGGAAGTGCTTGGATGCAGCAGTAAATGAAACTTTGCATCTACCCTCACACAGGGCTCACATCCTGTTATATTTAGAAAGGGTAAAAAAGGGAAACACTATGCATTTCAAATCCTCAGGACATTGGGTGGAAGGATTTGGCTTTTAGATAAGGTAGTTGGAGATGGTGTTTGTGTTGACATCCTAAGGGCAAGAAGTGCCAGCAATGCTAGGAGAGGAGGCATCAAGGCAGAGGGAAGAGCAAATGCAGAAGCTACAGCTTTGGTGAAACAGGAGGAGGTGAGTGGTAAGGCAGGAAGGCAGAGCTGGCGGTCCCCCACTGGCTCCTCACTGAGGGGGCTCATTCCTCTAGAGTCTCAGGTCCTTACCTTCTTCTACATCTCTTCACCCTTACGTGGCCAAATCAATTCCAACACTCCCTGGTCATTATCCTTCACAAAATACATTTGAGCCCTTGTGGTGCGTGCAGACACCTCAGAACACCCCACATCAGTGCTGAGCTCCTCGAAAAGACAGCCAGCAACCTCATTCATGCTGATGGGCATCTGAGAACAGTACCCATCATGGAGCTCAGGCAGGAAAGACAGCCAAGACAGGCATTTTTTTTTTTTTCAAATATTTATTTATTTATTTATACAAGCACTGGGTACAGTCAGAAGTGCAGAAGGGTGAGAGAATTCACCAGAGCCAGAGCGGGGAACAAAACAGGCAGACTGACGATACACTGCTGAGGGGAGCAGCGTGTGGCAGGAGAGGTCTGCGCACCATGTGGGACCTTTGACCGGTGGCCAGAGATTGAACTGGTGCTGCAGAGGCTGCGGGCAGCCTCACAACCCAGCCCTCAACCGCTGCGCCACCAGGGAGGCCAAAGACACACATGTTTTTGACCCTCTCATATTCTTACACCATAAAAACATCTTTTGCAGTGCTTTTGGTAGTCTACACAAGTACGGGAAATTATGAATTAGATTAAACTTGAAACATGTTAAACAGAAAGACAACGCCAAACTGTGTTCAAATCCAGTTTTATTAAAATTATTTGGGAATATCACTAGCAGTACAAAGTCCTCAAATATGATCCCTGGATACCTTAGACAAGATTTTGTGTTTTTCGCTTCTTATGGGTTTGGGTACATGTATTGTTCTAAATTCTCTGCCCTTCATTGCATTGCCAAATGGCAAAGTACCTAAAGTTTCTCTATCTACAATAGCCTATTCTTTATAGAAGAGGAATTTGTAAAATAAGATTGAAAAAATAAAATCCACAGATTGAAAAAAGTCTGTTCCACTAGTAAGAAGATACAAAGCATATTAAAGACATCTACATTTAGTCCTCCACGATAGAAGGCAGGCACTAGATGTCTGTGAGGCCTGGGCTTATTTATTGCTAATGATAGTTCAGAGACCAAAGTGTTTCCCAAAAGCTATCATACCTTTCTCGACATTCCCAGTATGCTTCCAACAGATTTAAAGTATAAAACCAGGAAAGCACTTGATTTGGCCTTTAAAATCACAAGCCTTTCCCCTCTCTTCCTTACTGGGATTTTTCTCTTGCAGTAGCTCTGGGAACTATTGGCTTACTTAGTGCCTTATGACTAGCATTTGCCTTATAACTGATCTAAGAACTGACACTTTAAAGTATATTACTGGACAGCAAATGATGGGAGGCTTTCTTGACCAGGGCAAAACTTTCAGCGGACTTTAAAACCTTAGCGTGTTTGGCGCTCCTTAATTGTTCTCCAGTGACCCCGAAGTTGTCTGTAAGGAAGAAGGAGAGAAAGCTGTGTGAGAACATTTATTCAAGTCTCTGCTGTCAGTTCTTACTAGTCCTGTTTCCTAGCAGGGTATGAAAACTCAGCTATGGACAATGGAGCCCTAGAGTCTTGTTCCTGTGATAAGAATATCTCCTGGGGATCAGAATGCACAGAAGAATTCAAGGCACTAACTTCAAAGAATTCTATCTTGCCTTCGCTCAAAGACTGTACTTTTCTAAAATTCATGAGGCTTGTTTTCATGCACTGTCTATCTTCAGACATTGCAATTACTAAGTCCACTCCCCTAAACGGTCAATTTATTTAATCAGAAATAGAAGACCACCATAGCAGATTAATGTAGCCTGTTCATTTTAGGTGGGAACACTTGTTCCTCAAAGGAGAGCATGTTATTATAGGCTACTCTCACTTCTTTGTGGTGTAAATAGATGACTTTTCAAAGAAAAAGCAACTTGGTCATCCAAACAGGCAACTTTCTATGATTATCTCACCAAAAAGGGTCTCAGCTTTGCAAAGGTAGATGAAGCCAGTAATTTGTGTGGTCCCAGCAAATGAGATGTGTGAATATTGTCCTAGCAGTAGCCAACACATCAAATAATATAGTTTTCACTCTTTTTAATAATTAAAGAGAAAAAATTCTCTTTAGGAATGAGCATACATTTTGAAGTTTCTCAATAAAGAATTCTTGGCATCCACTTTCAGATTTTTTTAAAAATATAAATTGAAAACATGGTCTCCAAAGTTAAAGAAAAAAATTAGGATATACTGGGTCTTTCCCTCCAAGTTAAGGTTCATCTCATTTTTCAATGACACGACATTCAAATAGTATTTAGGACAAAATAAGCAATGCATATAATGTAAAGTTGTCAGCCCCAATTAAACCTAGGAGACATTTAAACCCAGGAGAAGAAATTATACTTACAAATGGAGTTCTCATTCCAAATTTGCTGTGGAATGTCATGGTGACTTTATTTTTATGTCCTGTTCTTTGATCAAAGGCATGGCACGTGTCAAAAGGTGGGCTGTATAAGTGAAGACTCACAGCAGGTTCTGTGTGGCTAATATTCTCTACTCGGTGTAAACCAATGGAATCTAAATGATATCCAAGAGAGGAGAAAGCTGGAGATAAACATCGTGTCATATGGAGTTAACAGAAATTAGTTAGCATTGAAGTTCCCTTAAAGATAGTGTCATGGCCTGAGCTCTTTCCTCAAACCCCCTATGATGACAGTAAGAGGACAAAAAAGACAAATGTACAATGCAAAGAAAATTGGAAAAGAGAACAGATTAAGAAACATTTCAAAGGTACACAATAGATGGATGGTTTTGTTACAGGGCAGGGAGAGTCCTGGGGACCACCCTGTTACAGTTTTGCAGAGAGAAAGAGCTAACCCCTGAGCCACCAATGGCGACAGCCTTGATCAGTATCTCAAGAGTCCCAGACAGCTTGGGAATTGGCAGTACAGGAAATAGGTGTGAAGGTGAAGGGAAAAAACCCAAGAACTCGTTGACAGTCTATTTTAGAAGAGTCTCAAATCTCTTGACCACTTTTCTGTCCCTTCTCCTACCCTCTAGGCTGAGATCTAATATTTAGAAAGACTAATGAATTTAGGACTGGTGGACACCAGGTTAAAAAAAAAGAAAATTTACACAATGAGTGATTAAGATCTCCCCTTTCTTCACTAGCTAGCTGCCAGAATGCTGCCCAACAGGATTTTCTCTTTCTTTTCTCCTGGCTGGAGATAGAAAGCAACTTGACCCAGAATCTGATGGGCCCACAAGAAGAGTCCCCCAGATACTGTCATTGGCTCTTCCACAAGGAAAAAACTCTAGCAGCTTATCCCAGGTGAAATCCAGTTCACAAACACCAGCCACATGTTCAGAGCTACCAATTAACTTTTTTGTCCCTGGTTTTTTTTTTATTTTTTTCAAAGATTTATTTATTTATTTATACAAGCACTGGGTACAGTCAGAAGCGCGGGAGGGTGAGAGGATTCACCAGAGCCAGAGCAGGGAACAGACCAGGCAGACTGACAAAGTACACTGCTGAGGGGAGCAGCACGGCAGGAGAGGTCTGCGCGCCATGTGCGACCCTCGCCTGGCAGCCGGGGATCGAACCGGCACTGCAGAGGCTGCAGGCAGCCTCGCAATCCAGCGCTCAACTGCTGCATCACCGGGAGGACCCTGTCCTTGTTTTTTAAATATTAGCAAACAGTCAAGACCACCAGAATTTAGAGCAAAGCTTCTAACATGGAAAAGCAACCTAAAAAAAAAAACCACACACACACACAAAAAAAAAAACCACAACAAAACTTGAAACAGACGCTACTCAGGAGAAGGTGATAAAAGAAAAATTATTAATATCTTCAGAGAGATAAAATACTACCAAAAGGGTCACAGGATAAAATGAGCTTTTGGAAATAAAAAGGTGATGGGAACAAAAACCTGAACAGAAGAGTAAGAAGAAAAACCTGTACCTCCCCTTGTGGCGCAGCGGTTGAGCGCTGGGCTGCGAAGCTGCTCACAGCCTCTGCAGTACTGGTTTGATCAGCAGCCGCCAGTGAGGGTCCCACATGGCGTGCAGACCTCTCCTGCCACCCGCTACTCCCCTCAGCAGTGTACTTCTGTCCTTCTGCCTGTTCTGCATCCTGCTCTGACTCTGGTGAATTCTCTCACCCTCCCACGCTTCTGACTGTACCCAGTGCTTGTATAAATAAATAAATAAATCTTTAAAAAAAAAAAGAAGAAGAAGAAAAAGCTGAGGAAAATCCAAAGGACAAATTGACAAAGATAGAAAATAGGAAAGAAAAAAAATCAGAGATTAGTTCAAGAGGTTTAATATCTGAGCAACAGATGTTTCAACTGCAGGTCCAAAAATTAATCAAAGAATTACCTGAGAGTATTTTCTTAGTTGAGGGAATTCTCTTATCCTCCCGTGCCTCCAGCCTGTACCCCAGTTCTTGTATAAACAAACAAATCTTTGAAAAAAATTCTTAAAAAAATCCTCTAAAACCCCCGAAAGTTAAGAAACAAGACATAAAAAAACAAAAACAAAAGACTCAGAATGGCATCAGACTTTCAACAAGAATAGAATCTAGAAGACAAGGACAACCTTCATAATTCTTCAAGATTAGTTTCAGATCTTAATTCCATATCCAGCGAAATTACCATCCATATTACAAGGGGTGAATACAGATTTTCAGACATAAATACTCAAAGACTCACTCTCCCTGAACACTTTCTCATGGAGCAAATGTAGGCTATGCTCCACCAGAACAAGGACATGGATCAAGAACAAAGCAAACAGGAGATCAGGAAATGTGACTGGCACAGGCAAAGGGAGAACCGGAAGGGCATGAGAGGGGTCCTGAGATGACAGCTGAGCCGTGGTCCAGAGGCCAGCCAGTCCATACTGAAAAAGGGCTCAGGTTGGGGGAAGAGGTCCTCAAGAAGGTTAAAGTGAACAAAAGATAGAAAACAATAAAACTTTTAAATATTGGGAAGAAATTTATACAGTCATGAGTTTGAGGATTAATTAAGAAAAGAATTCAGTGTCATGAGTATAATTAATGCAGGTACCTGACTTGGCCTTATGCTTTGTGGTCTGGCTTCACCATAAAGAAGAACAAAACTGGGGCCTCCCTCATAGTGCAAGGGGTTAAGATGCAACCCATGAAGCTATCAGCAGCCACTGCAGCATGAGTTCGATCCCGGCCAGGGAGCTACCCACATAGCGTAGCAGACCTCTCCTAACTCGCCCGCTGTTCCTCTCAGCAGTGTACTTCGGTCAATCTGCCTGTTCTGCTTCCCTTCTCTGTCTCTGGTGAATCTTCTCACTCCCAACCCAAACCTCTGGACTGTACCCCAGTTCTCATATGCATAAAAAACCAAAATCTTTAAAAGAAAAAAAAAAAAGAACAACAATAACAAAGCCTAGATGCAGACTTAAGTTCTACTCCTAGCCAGAGTGACTAACAAGACCATCTTTGAACGAGCCACAAATTTCAGGATCTTCAGTTTTCCTGTTTCTAAAATTGAGGTCTAATTCTCAGATCTGTCAACTCTTCGATTCCAGTTTATGGCTTTTATGATATACTCAATCACCAATTTGAACAAAAAATGTTCAACATTCCTAAGGGTCAAATACTCTTTATACAAATAAATACTTGTTTTTCCAATTGCAGTTGTATGTACCATATAATGCAAACAAAAACCCCACAAAAATAAGTCACCCATCCTTTAGAGAAAATCCCGAGGCTCATATCTGATTTCCATTGTTAATAATTCCAAATTTATTACTGTGTTTTCCTTTTTGCCTCCTTTCGTTTTTGTCCCTGGTGTGTATTATTGTCACAGAATATTGGACTTTTCCTGGGGATACTTATAGATGCCAATTTGGTACAGATCATTTATCTATGACCTTTTGCCTATTACAAAAGGTAACTGGCCTCTTTGCCTCAATTCTCTCTTCCTCCATCCTATTTCACATACTGCTACCAAACAACATTTGATCAAGATATTCCCAAGTAAAATTCTGTTGACCAAAGCAAGTTCTAAACTTAAACAGGCCCTGGAGGTTTTGCTCTCCCACTACTCCTGTCCCATACTTTCTTTCTTTTTGAAGATTTATTTATTTACAGGCCAGAAGCGCCCAAGGGTGGAGAGAGAGGAAGGGTCTGCTGCGCCATGTGGGAATCTCCCTGGCCGACCGGAAATCGAACCCACACTGCAGAGGCTGTGGACAGCTTCACAGCGCTGCGCTCAACCCACTGTGCCACCAGGGAGCCCATAACTTCATTTTTGTCTCAGCTACACCATCTCTGAACAATTTTCATTCTTTGTAATGAGTGTGTCTTCATTCACGCTCTTCCCTATACTTGAAATATCTTTCCTCTGATCATTATTTATTTCCACCTTGACTCCTGCATCTGTAAAAATTGAAGCTGAAAATGTGTAGCTTTTGAGTAACTTGAGTAATTAGCTTATAAATAGAAGCGTTTCCTGCTACACAAGAAACTTACACCTTTGTGTTAAGTGAATGGGGAAAGTCCTATAAATCTGCCCTATGTAAGTGACTAGCATTCTTAAACTACTAACTAGATTCAGGCAGAGTATAAAAGCCACTATTGGACTTTAATATTTAAGAAAAAAAGAGCTGCTTTGCCAGATAAAGCTCTAATACATTGTTTTATTTAAGTGGGATAGTATTCCAATTAAGAGCAAGGACTTTGGAATTAAATTGCTTGGGATCAAATCTTAGCTGTCACTTAAAAGTTGAGTGACCCTGGACTAGTTTTTAAATCTTCCAATGTATTGGTAATTTCATCTGTAAATGGAAAAAAAAATTACTTCATATAAGCTTTAAGGAGCCTTTTGGAAAGTTACTATTCTTTTTCAGAATATTGACATTAATCTCCGACTGCCTGAAAAGCATTTGGCTCTCCCACATTACATTTAAAGGAAAGAATGAATTCTTTCTGTAAGATATCTATAAATCACTGTGAAAAACGTGCTTTGTTAAGTTTACTTTGAGAGTACTCTTGAAAATGTGCTGTATGAGGACTGCCATTCTTAATTACTTCCAGACTAGCGAGCATTCTCAATTACTTCCAGAAATGCCTTTACATTTTCCAACTAGACCTCATTCCTTTATGAAGACGCCTCATGTAAAGGCACATTCAATTTTAGCATCCTAAGACTTGGCGGGTGAGAGAATTTTCAGTGAGAGCTAATCTGCAAGCATATGTTTTAAATAAGTGACTGCTATCCAGATTTAAAGCCTTAAAAGCCAAAACCCACCACTTCTAGGTCATTTCCCAAGTATTTGAAATCATGGCTCCATGATCCAACTTTGACTGCACGCGTATGAACCAACATTTCAAATAGGAAAAACGATTGCTCTTAGAAAAATATATCAGATGTTACCATTGATGTAGGCACACTGGTTTTCCCTCAAGACTCTTTCAGACTTCTTGGTCATCTCAATGGATTTTTTGTCAGGCCAGGCAAATAATGTCTCCTTTAGATTTCCCTGAAGCATCTTCAGAAAGCAGTGGGAGTCGGTATGGTCATGGATACTGCTATATGTAGCAAAACAACAACAGAACTCAGTAGATGCTCTAGTATCTAGACACATAATACTAGTCCGCGTAGCCCTGACAGCTGCCCATTGCCTTTGACAGCTCCTGGGCCAAAATCCATTTCAACTGGATTTTTAAATGTCAATTTGCCATTCCACATTGTTCAGGGCAAAGTAATAAAATGTCTTCATAGAGATGCATAGGAACAGTTTGATACATTCCCTTACTTAAAAGGGCAGCTAATTTTTTAAAACCTACTGTAATACTGCTTTGATAACAAAAACTCAAGCATTTATTTTCTAAAAGATAGAGCTTTTAATAGCTCATTTAAGCTGGGCTAGAAACTTGTTATAAAACTACATTTGAGAAATTTTAGAAAGGGTAAAGATAATTATCTGAAAGAATTGCCTCACAGCATGATCACGTAACATTTAGTGTTCTGTTCCCCACGTTTTTTTCTCTTTTTATCCTTTCTTGGGGAAACAAAAGGTATGTATATTCAAGTTACCACCCAAAAATTTTGCTGGAAAGTATAATTTTAACATTTTGTAGATTGACAGTATCCAGTCTGTGATTACCTCCCAACAGTGGTGGGTAAAAGAAAGTAAATTAGATTTGGAGAAAGGATTCATTAATGTAATCATAGAGGGACTAGTAGTTAAATATATTAAGTAGTATTAGCTATAGGGTTGATTAAAAGACAGGAATCTATACACATTGTTGGCATTTATTTCATCTGCTGAATTCTATTAATCCATATTAAGTCCCTGAGAACTTCTTTCCCAAATCCACAGAGCCTAGTCCTACCCCAAAATATAAATTGTTTTCAAAAATATTGAGGATGAATGAAAAAAACGCCATTGCATCCATGTAAATAAGTGTATTCTATAGATATAACTTTCCAAAGTCATAAAGTTATCCTTCCTCTCTTCCATTAAAAATGGGTCTGCATTATTGTTGTCACTAGTCTCAAAAGTCTGATAAGGAGTTGTTTAAAGATTTAACAATGCTCATTTGGATAAGAAGACTGGCAAGTGTCAACTAAGGGCAAATAAAAGATTGAAGTTTCAAAGCACTGGTATGAGTTTAAGTTGCCTTACCTTCTGTATAAAGAAAGCAAGCAGTTAACATGAAGCAGAAGGAATTTTTCTGGACTTGGGTGTAGCTTTGCTAGCTCTAAATATGGAAGCTTTGGTCTTTGGTCCTAGTGTTTACACAATTCAAAGAACCACAAAGGTCATATTAGCACTATTCATCTAAAGTTTAACTCCATAGAAGACAAAGTGAGGTTAGGTTAAACTGGTTACTGATGTCCTTCAAATTTACTACTCATTTTGGGGGCCAATTTTGATATATACATGGGATACAGCTAAACCCCTGATTCCAATTCTCATTAGAATTTGTTAGGATTAAGGGACATGGTTAACAAATAATTACAAAATGAGATTTGTTTCCACTTGCAAGATTTGCCAGAATGGAGCTAGAACTTTTCATAAACTCAAATAGATAACTTTAAAATTTACTGAATAAACAGCTGTATTACCTGCCATGTCCTTCACCCCAACATAGGATCATTAGATTGAATTTCCCATTTCCTTGATCCACAAGATTTCGGGTATACCTGTAAAGAATATATTCAGAAGTTCGAATTTGGTTGATGAAACCAGCCCTGGGTAAAATAAGTGTCACAAAATATCATTCGTTGGCAGATGTATTTTTATCTCTAGGCAAATTTGAATATGGTTTTCAATCAGAAATCCAGTACAAATGAAATATATTTTTTCACAGCTCACTTTGGACATTTTTGTATTTTGAACCACCATATCTACAATGGCTCACTTTTAACAAATAGCATGGAAAAGGAAATAGGAAAAAGCAAATTCCTTCTCTGTGACAGCTTCCAACTGATAAAAAAAAAAGTAAGTTTTTCACAGAAGGTATTTGCAAAGTGCATTGCAAGAATATTGCTATTGTTGTGTTCCTTCCTTGTAGTTAAACTTGAGAAACAAGGTTTCATGAAGTAACTGTTTTAAAATTCTCAGTGGTTTTACTATAACCAGACACAAAATCACATTCAAAAGTTAAGCATAAAGAAATAGTCCTTCACAACCAGGGAGGGGGTTGACCTAAGTACCAGAACAAAGGGGGATACCTCAGGGAAGTAAGGAATATTCTAAACAGTTTGCAAGAAGAAGAAAAACCAGTAATTAACAAACAAAACCCAACACAATCTCAACTACACCATCAGGTCAAAATAAATAAATAAAACCACTTTAAAGGTTATATTGGTCCAAAAGGCTCTACTGACACCATCTAATCATTCAATTGATAATTGTCAATCACCTAATTGATAATGAGGACATTCATTTAGACTCACTTTAAAAGAAAGGAATGTTGACCCCATTTGTGGGCTAAATGTTTGTTCCTGTGGTTATCTCTTTACCCAAAATCTCTCAAGCTTTTCCTCTCCCCAGCTCCCCAAGCAGGGGTCAGGATCACTAAGGGATTTGATTAGTCAGTGCTTTTGAGATGTCAGCATTTTTAGCTTTGAAGCCCTTTGTGACCTAGCAGGGGGCTGTGCACACACATCCATTAACTGTACCTGTCCCTGTACCAGAAGCCTGTTTCTGCCAAGGTCACCCCTCTTTCTTCTCTCAGGCTTCTTCAGCGAATTTACTCTGTGGTGCATACTGGCACATCTTCTGTCTCTGTTCTTTGGCACAGGCGGGCTCAAGGTCAGGAATCAGAATCCTCCACAGTGCTTGGACACTTACTCCAGCCAAAAACACTATCAAATTGATTTCAGCTCTGCCGTCTCCCTCCCTCCTGCTCTCCCAACTGTCCACACAGAACGGCATCCATTCCTAACAACTTAACCCTCAGACATTTGTGAATAAGGTGTGCTCATTTGGCTGCATCTCCTATGGTGGAGAGCAGAAAACTGGAACCATGTAGCTGCAGGAAACTCAGTAGAGGTTTAGACTGTGGGTACTCGAACAATCCTGCTAACTTGAGCCCTGCAGCCACTTCTTGATAAAAGACACATCTTGAGCAGGAAATCTTTTTCTTGCCCATGATTCCTTGTGTGGAGATAGGGATAAGGGTACCTATTTCAGAGAGCTGTTCTGAGGTCAATGAATTATTAATACTTGAATAAAGTGATTGGAAGAGTACCTGGCTTATAACTGTCCTCAATTACCTGGAGCTATTAGCACAAGTGAAAATTCAACTCTGGCAACTTTGTACACAGTGGCAGAAGGATCTTGCCATCAACTGAGAGGAATGTCCCAGAGACATTTGCAAGTGGACAGTGGGATTCTAAACAGGCTTCACTTACTAATTTCAAATCAGAAAGTATAATTAAAACAACTCTTGTGACAAAACTTGAGTAACACAGAGTATGTTTAAGGCAAATGATTACCAGAAACTGGCTCCAAAGAAAAAACAATCTTTCCTTATTTTTCTCTTTCAGCTATGGCCCTTCTCTTACCCTCAGCCCAATCTACCCAAGCAGCCACTGCAAGCTGCCCTTCCGAAGAAAAGAACCTCTCATCCTTCTGCCCTAGAGGACTGGCAGCGATTAACTTTTACTTAATCACCCAACCAACCTACCAGGGCACCCCACTCAGGCACCTCCGGCAAGCATTCCCGAAATCAAGGTTAAGAGAAATCAGACTAGTTGGGGGCTAAAAGAGAGGCAGGCTTTTAATTCGCGAACCTGACAGCGGGTTTAAATAAATCTACAGTCCCGGATCTTAAATTGGTTTGGGAGCAGAGCAGCACAAATTGAAACACAGCAGCTGCAAACCGCAAAGCGCTAATTTAGATTTGCAAAAATCCTGTTGGCAGCCGTCTGCTTGCAGGGGACCCTGGGCCAAGTGCCGGAGCCCAGGCGTCGGGAATAGAGCCCGCCCCCCTTCACCCCTTTCCCGGGAGGGCCCCCACGGCCGCCCGGCGGGAGCACCCTCGGTTGTGTGCAGCCAGACAGTCCTCAGGGCTGCGGGCGGGGTAGTCTGGTGCATCCACCACCACCCGAGTCGGGCGCTCCGGGGCAGAAGGAACAGCTCCGGGGGCGGGAGGCGTGGTGGTTTGCAAGCCGAGGGGTCGATCAGACGGAACAGAGCAGCCAACTCCGCTCCCCTCCGGGAGTCTGCAGGTCTCGGCCAGCGGCCCACAAACAAGGTCAGTAGGATTCACCATGCGCCCACCGCGCGGAGCGCCAGCCCCGCTGCCGGGGCGAGGAAGCGCACCACTGGGGGTGCTCCAAGGGCTGCAGACCCGAGGGAGAGTGGGCACGCTGTCCGGGAGCCAGACGTCTCCCTGTCCCCAATCTCCCCCCCTTCCCCGACCCCACCCGGGGACTCGAGAGAGCCGGGGATCCAAGCAGAGGCCGCGCGCGCTCACCTGTATTGGTCGAACTTGGCGTACTTGGCCCACTCGGCGTGGTCGCTCTCGTAAGCTTCCATGACGGCCTGCACCTCCTCCACGTTGACCTCATCGCCGGCGAAGAGCTGGTGCAGGATGCGGATCAGATCGTCCAGGGTCTGTGGCTTCAGCACCTCGGTCTGCTCCATCCCTGGCGGAGCTGGCTGCGCGCGCGGGGGCGCACGGGCTGGGCGAGCGGAGGAGCGCGAGAGGCGAGGACCCCAGCCGCCAGCTAGAGGGGGGCACGCACACAAACCCCCCAAGACTCGAGGGTCACGGCTTGAAGCAAGCCCCGCCGGGAAATCAGGAGCCCCCCGCCCGGGCAGCGAGGTGGACCCGGGCTTGCGGGGAACGCGCCGCGAACGCTAATCAGGTTCGAACCTACAGGGCGCAGCCTTCCCGGCCCTTTTTAAGCTCTCCGAGTCAGCGGGAATGTACCAACGCCCCTCGCAGGGTGGGGAGAGGCGGGGAGCGCCTGGAGAATGGACGTGGAGGCGGCCGGAGTGTGCCGGCAAAGCCCACGCCCTTGGCCCCGGCTCCCCGAGCACTGAAGCCCTCGCGGGGGGTTTTGCGCAATCGCCCTCTCGCAGTTTCAGCCCGCGAGGTTGGAGGCCTTCGCTGCCCTGGTTCCTGCGCCCCCCGCCCGCCCGGGAGGCTCCTCGAGTCGCTGTGGTTGGCGACGCTGGACGCAGACCAGAGGGCTTAGGAGAAGGCTGGGAACCGCGAGGGAGTCAGGGGCGGGGGGAGGCCGCGAAAGGGACCCTTCCTTCTGAACCGAACCCAGGAATCGTGAAGAGGTCGGGAAGGCAGAAGATGGATTCTGCTCCCATGATGGAGAGCTACAGTTTTTGTTATTTATTTTTTTGGTTTTCAAACTATTCTTTTATTGTTTTATTTTATATATTTTTACATCATTTTTCATTTTTGCACATTGTATGCATTTTCATCTTGGGTATATTCCCCATACAATTCCCACCCCCCTTATTTTGACCCTAATCCCTCCCCCCACCCCCCGGGTCTATTTACAATAGCTAAGCTTTGGAAACAACTCAAATGCCCCAAAATAGGTGATTGGATCAAAAAGATGTGGTCCATATACACCATGGAATATTACTCAGCATTCAAAAAAGATAAACACATGCAATTTGCAGCAACATGGATGGCGCTGGAAGGGATCATGCTCAGCGAAATAAGCCAGAAAAAGAAAAATACCAGATGATCTCACTCACAGCAGGAATTTAGAAAACCTAAACAAGGGACAAGGAAAAAGACTAATTATAATAAAGAGAGCTACAGTTTTATTGGTCAAAGTATGGATAAGCGCTCCAGGCTAGGTGACAATAAGACAAATCGTCCTTGAAGAAATTTAAATGTACTGAACTGAAAGTAGATTTTGACAAAGGAGAATCGGGTTTCAAGTCAATGCTAGCACAAAGACGAAAGGTCAGATGTTCCTTTTATTTTAAAACGAAGCATTTTCCAAAAAAATATATTCGGTGCAAAAACCTGGGCTTTCCATATTATGGGTACTGTGTGCAAGAACATATTTCTGTTGTGCATTCACCACACGCTGAGCACGTCAACTGAATATAGATAATAAAAAAGTGAGGGACAGAGGTGTAGATTCCTTTTTCATTTTTATAACCCAACCCAAGGAATAATATGGGTTCAAGATTATTCAAGAGCTACACTTCTGGAAGGATGGTTTTTCTAGACTTTACAACGATGTATGCATATACACGAATGTATATATGTACATATATGTAATGTATACTTAAATTTACTCTTATCATGTGCAGTCTTATTTAATGCATTTCTTATTAGGTTGTTAAGGAAGTAAAGACGACCTCTCATTGTTCAAAAGGGCTAGACATGGAAAGTACCTCAGACGCCAGCCTTTCTGATGTGCATGGCAAGGAAAAAGGTGGTGAATTATTTTGAGATAGTGTAACTTGTACATTCTTCCTAGTTACTCAATTTTTTTATTCTTGTCGAAGTTGTTCTATTGGGTGTCTTCATTTCTGATACTCTAATCCATGAATATTTAGGATGAATAAGAAGTCAAACATAAATAATCTTAAATTTTCTGCATTGTCAGTACATTACATGTCACTATATTTTTCACACTTTTTCTACTTTCTCTGGCTCTTGACCTTCGAAGACCTCAAGGCTCTTTAATATAGCCATATACATATTCATAACCTCTTCTCTAAACCTTTTGTGACACTCAATTTCACTGATCACGTCTATGTGGATGCCTTCCATAGATCCCTAATTTTACACACCGAGGAAACACCTTTTGGAATCTCACATGATGCTTATTTGAAATTCCTTTCAAGCATGCTTTCTACTCCTGGATGTTCTATTTCTGCAAGACTGCTACTCAGGTTCAAAACTAACCCACCACTGCCACCCTTGCCTCGCTTTAAGTCCTTGCAATCAGCTGCTTTTTTATCTCCTTATTATTGTTCACGTTTTCCTATCTATTCCTATTGCTACTCCACTTGTCCATGTGTCTTAGATTCTATTTTGGCTGGATTACTGCATGATCCATTGGTCCCAGCTTTTCCCCAGGCAGATTATTCATTCATAGACATTAGGCTAATTACCTTAAGGTACAGAATGATGATGTTTCCTGGTCAGAAACTTCCAGTGACCTTTTACTTCCTACACCCTGAGTTTGCAGCCTGGCACTTTAAGTTCTCTGTTTTGGCTCCAGATTACCTTTATTTTTCACCTTTTACTATTCTTTACAAATAATCTTTCAGTCATACATATTCTTTTGCATTTACCAAATCCACTCTTTTGCTTTAACTTTTTCTTCTGCCTTGATTCTAGAATGCATATTCTGTATGTCCAAATCTTACTTTAAGATCTTAGGTTAAAAGCTTTCCTCCCAAAAAGCTGTATCTGCACTGAGGCAGTATCAGGATCTTCTTAGGTGGCCATGACCACTTCACAACAACTATTGCAGTTACTTATGTGGCTCATCTTGACAGTGAGAACCTTTAGGTCAAGTTCCACTTAAATTTTCTATTTCCCTCAATGCTTCCCATACAATGCCTTGGGTATGCATGAACAGTGAGTCAGGAAAGGCTTACTGGCCATTGGTTAGGGCAGTTCAATTGCTAGTTTTTCTTTGAGTATGCTGGGATTATGAGTTCACAAGAAGCAAAGATTTCTCAAGTTGTTTTAGCTTCTTTGAAAAGAACTTTGAATTTTTTCCCAAAAGAATTGCACAATGTAACCAGTTATAAATATCCACAAAACAAAACAATACAAGTTCTATTAACATATATAGAGTATCTACCTTAATAGGTAGTTCTACTGCACTTTGCATTGCTTAGGGCAAAGAGGACCACATTTTAAGACATTAACATGAGTCCAGACCCAGACAAGGAACTAAATTGGAAATGTGGTAATATCCAAATACACATTCATCCAATGCAACTTTAAGAACATGTACTATACACCAGGCACTGCTGGCAAAACTAAGTCTTTATCCTAGGTCTTAAGGGAATGGTGGGTGTGAAGAGACACATCAACAAACACTACATACAGTATACATGGAGAAAAACCAGGGGAAGGAGGGCTGTGAGTTGTCATTTAGCTGCAGTTCAGGAGAACACATTTCCTCCACAAAGTGACAGCTGAGCAGCAACTGAAGAGTACCAGAGTAAATGTAATGTCTCATAAGTTTCCAGGTGGAGGAAATGGTAAATGCAAAAGTTAGGGGGAGAGAGGGAGCCACAGAGATGAACAGAGATGTCAGTGCAGGGTGTAGAGATGGGATTGTAGCTCATACAGGCCTTTGTTGGACAAGGTCAGGACTTCACCTTTCACTGGAGAATTCTGGGCAAGAGGGAGAACAGATTAAAAAAAAAAACAAAACCCAATTAGTTGGCTATTAAAATTAGAAGAAAAGAAGTGATTTGGACAAACTTTTAATGGTTAAAAATCTGAATTAGGATTTGAAGTGATAAAGGTGTAAACGTACTTCCAGAAGTAAATGGCATGTGTGGACACAGGAAGAGAAAAAACACAAGGCATATTCAGGAAATAGTGAATAGTCCAGTTTGGAATCAAAGTTGTAGGGAAATAGTATTTGTAAGACTAAACCTGCTCAACTGTTTTCTGAAAACCTTTCCTTCCATTTTGTGGTTGGCTTCCCCAGTGCCAAAAGCTTCCCCAGTATGTTATAATCCTCAGAAAATGAAGCAAAGAGGTATGAACCACCTTTTACACCTTCAACACCAGTCTTTGAGTTGCATGCCACTAAATTGCTTGACTAAAGCTATATAATTTATGGGATATTCAGCACTTCTGTTTTCTTAACAGATTAAATGATATTTAAGGTCTTTCAGGGTTAAAACATCTAGAAAAAGATTCCATTAAGTCTCCAATCTTATTTTGATTACAGATAAACATCCTTAGCTTACACTATAGAGAGCTAATTATAAAGTTGTTGGCACGCATACTGTGTGCTGCCACTCAGCGCTGCACACTAAGATAAAACATGGCATCACTGATATTTTCTTATAAACATGGAGCTCTGGTTACTTTGGTGGTGGGTGTGGTGTGGTAACAACACCCCAAGGGGATATCCTACACTTTTAAAATGCAAACAAGGATGTAAACCTATGTTAACTCAATGAAAAATATTAAAAAAAAAAAACCTTAAAAAAATAAGTTAGATTGTTTTTTGTTTGATTATAATTGACACAGTGTGAACCAGACATCTGCAAAAATATTTGAGAATTATTTTTTAGGTATTAGCCACCCAATAATTTATGGAAATTCGGGTTACAAATAGATGTTGCAAAATTAGCATAGAATGAGTAATTTTTTTGGCTAAGGGCTGAGATAATAATGTAAATATGGTTTGAAAGTGTCAAAATCCCTATATATTCTTTAAGGTTATTTAGTAAGAAAAATAAGGTATACATATTTAGCTAATTTGAAGTTTAATAAATTCAGATCAAAAGAGAATAAATTGAAGTCACAAATTCAAACTGAAGTAGTTTTGATGTTGAAGTAGTAAGTATTCTATCATCTGAAACCTTAGTGACAAACATAAGTTAAACACATTTCTGGCTCTTAAATATAAATGCAAATAAATATATTCACATCCTTCAGTAAGCTTAAGTACACAAAACTAGAGAACAGATCTTTCCCATATTCAACTATTTAACTTGAAAATAATACACTTTCCAGTTTTAAACACATATACAAATTTGTTACCTAGTTTTACAAGATATAATTCAACCTGTATTATTACAGTGCTAACTACCAACTGTATTAATTTATACCAGTTAATATAAAAGGAGCTATAAGAATTCATCTTTGGACAGAAAATGAGAACTGAACAGCAGTTTTATCATTGTAAACTTAGCATTCTGTAATGCTAATGTGTATGGCAGACCATTAACCATAAAATACATTCTGGGAGTCAAGGGACATATAGTCTAAAATTCTTTGACAAAATCTTATCATTTCCATTACCTCCGAAAAGAAACATTTAGACTTCTCATATACACCTTAGATCCTGTTTGGACATTCTAGTTAATTAAGCAGAAATTTTTTTAACACTGCATTGCAAATTAACAGAATGAATGGAAAAAAAGTTAATCTCACTTCAAGTTGACTGCCAGTCTAATAAAGAATGAATAAAAATGGTACTTTCACTGATAAAACTAGAGCATATTTACTAAATTGAAAAAAATAATCACACAAATTTATCATCTCAAACAACAAAAAAAAAGGCACTCTTTTAGTCCTGGCATGAAATTTACATAAAATAAAATCTAAAGCTGTCTTTCAATTATTATTTGAGTGTTTTCAACTTGGAAAGTGCAATATAAAAACTCAAAGATACTGTCAGGCTTATTAATCAAGTGCTTTTGACACTGTAAAAACAAGAGACAGAAAAATACCACAGTTATAACCACCGGTTCTCAAAAATCATTAAATGATAGGACTTTTTGAAAAGAGCTGTATGATATATTTCTCCAGAATTGTAAAATTCCTTTACTTCCAATAAAATAAATCTAAAACATACATATTTTCTAAAGCAGCCTTCCAATGTGTCAACATGCTTGCTCTTTTGGCTAGATGTTTGCTAGAAATTAGCACAACAGCTTTTCCCTCCATTATCATCTGGCAAAGATGTAAACACCGAGTAGCTTAACTCTTTCTGCTAGCTGGGCTGCCCTCTGCTGGAAGCTTCACAACCGTCTTCCTCTTCAATACTTTGGAGACTTATCTAAAGCAATAGTTGTAGTAACGGGTATATAGGAAGGCCAGTATTTTATGATGACTTGTGTATTAATACAAATCACAGTTTGTGAGTTCATCCACTCTCTACGCATTTTTTTTTTCTTATGAATAAATAGGGTCACAGTAGATACATGCTGAGTAGATCATATCCTTAAGACTCTTGCCATAAGTAACAAAACTTTCAGAGCTGTTTCCTTTGTGAAGATTCATTTTAAGTCAGCAACATCTTTTCCTTTGTGGTTCAGCCCCATGCCTGAGATTTGCAGTAATGTAGGACCAGCTTACCATCACTGCCAAAACACTGCAAAAAGAAAAAAAAGCAGTAAATTATTTTTGTTATTCTTAAATGAAATCAACGTTTTATGTGTCATAAAAACCTTCATACATTTAAGTTTCTATAAAACTATCCCAACAATTATAAATTGTTACTAAACTTAACAGTAACTATGCTTAATAAAAACCTGTCCTTTCAGCATTTAGTGGCATGGATTGACTTACACATTAATTTTGTTCCTTCTCTGTATTTCTAATGTTTATCCTCTTTCTAGAAAGTGTGCTACTCTGTATATATTGATATGTTCCAAGAAACTGTAGAAATGCTGAATAAACCCATTATCTCACCCCCTTTTCACTTTCTTGGCCATAGCAGATCTGGATTACTGATTATATAAACAACGTAGAAGAAACTAGATGTAAAGGGTATACACCAAAGTTGTCATCAGCTTGTATCATTCATAATTTCTTAATATCTGTATAATTTATTGTGCTCCAGCTACATTCAGAGTGTTAGAGATATAGCAGAGAACAAGAAAGTGATTTCTTTCCTTGATAAGACAAATTAAGAAAGCCATATTATCTCTTAAAATTATGGTACAGCTTGATAATACCATAGTCAGGTGTGTTTATTCCATTAAGAAAATAAAGCAGCAGCACTCCTTCTGCCCACCTGTGACTATGCAAGTACCTCTTTTCACCAACTCTGTCCTGCAGGGCAGCAGCTTCCCTCCTGCCCGTGACCTGTACCATGCCAGGACTTCTCTCCTCAAGGCTGCCCTCCTGCAACTGGGCAGGCGTCTCTTAGCAAACCTGTCCCTTTCAGAGCAGCTCTTTCTTCCCGCTTGTGTCTATGCAAGTATCCTTCATTCTTCTGTCCCCTTTCCCTAATAAATCTGTTCTTTAAATCAAGAAAAAAAAAAGAAAAAAAAAAGAAAAGAAAACAGTAATATTTTACCTCATAGAGGGTTCCCACTTCCTGATCTGGAGAGGGGGCAAAGGACTGATTTACATAAATAAACTGCAAAAAAGAAAAATTATGGTGAATCAGATGGTATCCTCGTTAGCTTATTTTTCTGGGTTCCAATGAGCCACCTATTTCAAACTGAATAAGGCTTGTCTAAAGTGCTAATCATTCAATTAATGAGATCTTTATAAAGATTACGTCTTTACACAGGAAGAATAAAAACAATGGAATTTTTGTTCCTCCAACAGAGGTCCCCTACTTTCAAATACTATTTTTACAAATAGCTTTTGAAGTTTTATAAATTACATAATTAAAAACAATTTTTCAGTTTACTAATAATTTCTAACAATAAATTAGGAAATATAATATTTGAGATAACCCATGCATTTTTCTTAAATGACAAATACAGTTGGATTTTTTTTTTACCTTTACCACCTTTGACAACTCTCAAAGATACTAAACTTCAGGCTGGAAGCCACTAATGTAAAGTCACTTGCAGGCAGAAATACAAAAAAAGTAACATAACTAAAACAATGTCCTCACAATCTTGGTTTTCAAAGATTTCATTGTTTAATGTTTCAGTTTAGACTGTTTTACTAAAACATTTTTAGGACTGAAAAAATTGCTGGGCTACCAAAAATGAAAACCAGTGTCAAAATGACTTTTGATAATTTTCTTTTTTAGAAAACAATATTTTGCAGATGAAATATTCAATCTTCTCTGGTCTACGATCATATTCTAAAGTTTCTTGGGCTTTACCTAGTCTTACAAAAAAAAAATGAACAAACAAAAACAAAACCCCACAAAAACCCAAACAAAAATTTCAGAATAGTTAGCTGATAATTACAATTTGGGTCACTAATCTAGCGTATTGCTTCTCCCTTAGGAAAGACAAGTGCGGTAATTAAGAATACTGGATTTACTGAGATAGATCTGGCTTGCAAATACCAATATTTTTTCTCATAATCTGGCAAATAGCACCTATATTTTTCCAGACTGATGAGAAAGATGAGACAGTACACATCAAGTATTGGTGCCCAGTGTAGGTACTCAATAGATGTTAGTTATAACTGAGTTATTTAAAAATACTTCCAGCTTAAATATCAAGTTCATAGTTAAGGACAAATAATGTAACATAAAAATTTCATAAACTAAAGAGAAATCAGTGTGCATTTTAATGTTCATTTCCTATAATACAGAGATAATTTGTGTTTTCATTTCTGGCTGTTTATGAATTGACATGTAGTTTACCCTTTTCATACATTTTTAATCACAAGGGCTCTGAATGACAGTTTAGTTTATTTCAGCAAACACTTGATGATGATTGTTATAGTCTAGGAACTGTACAAGATATGAACTATGAATATTAATATAATCTCTCTCATAACTGAGTTTTCAACCAACTGGGGAAGCTGACATATGCAAATAGATAAGGATATAGATGTAAAAGTGTATCTCAGAAGGTGTGCAGGACAGAGACGTGGCATTAATTTAGCCTCGTAAAAAGGTCAGGGAGAGCTTCCTGGAAGATACCTCAGGGATAAAATAGGATTTAACAAGGTAAGGAAAGTAATTAGGACTTTGCAGGGAAAAAGGATGAAACAAAACGGTGTGTTGAGGGAACAGAATAGATGTACTGTAATATTAGAGAAACTCAATGTGATTTTGTAACAAGAGTTAACAACTGAAATTGACTTTAAAATTAAACTAGCTTGGGCCTCCCCAGTGGCGCAGCGGTTGAGCGCTGGGTTGCGAGGCTGCCCGCGGCCTCTGCTGCGCCAGTTCGATTCCCGGCTGCTCCCCGGCCACCGGAGGAGGGTCCCACATGGCGCGCGGACCTCTCCTGCCGCCCGCTGCTCCCCTCAGCAGTGTACTTCGGTCCTTCTGCCTGCTCTGCTCCCCGCTCTGGCTCTGGTGAGTTCTCTCACCCTCCCGCGCTTCTGACTGTACCCAGTGCATGTGTGAACAGAAAAAGCAAACAGACAAATAAATGAATAAATAGACATGCCTCTATAAAAAAAAAAAAAAAAAAAAAAAAAAAAAAAAAAAAAAAAAAAAATTAAACTAGCTTAAGATTCAGTGGAAGCAAGTTTTCAAAATGTAAATTTTTTGTTAAATGCCAGAACTTGGGAAGGTAACATTATCTTACTATCACCCATCTTCGTGAGGTTTCTTTAGTTATTAAAAGGCTCTTTCCCTAAGTCAGTTTTGTTGTATGTCAAATTCTTATCTCCTACTTAACTTTTATCTTTGTTGTTCAAGTTTAAAGATAACCTTATTTTATTTTTCCATATCATGTTTTCTTCCCCTCACTTTCACAAGTCCAAAGAATTTCTTTATGTCACATCTAATAATTTTACCTGAATATACCTTGTGCTTGTTATTCTGGGGTGATATTCTCAGGTACTTGGTATAATCTTTTTTTTTTTAGATTTATTTATTTATACAAGAACCGGGGTACAGGCCAGATGCGCAGGAGGGTGAGAGGATTCACCAGAGACAAAGTGGGGAACAAAACAGGCAGACTGATGAAATACACTGCTGAGGGGAGCAGCGGGCAAGACAGGAGGGGTATGCCACGCCACGTGGGATTCTTGCCAGCCAGCCGGGATTGAACCCGCGCAGCAGAGGCTGCAGATGGCTTCACAGTGCGGCACTCAACCGCCTGTGCCACCACTAAGGCACCCTAAGTAGGGATAAAACCTCTGCTCACTCCTTTCACATATGTGTCCTCATTCCCCTGACCTTTTCATGTAGTATTGTACTCGAGGCAAGGTCCTCTGTTCGAGATTTTAGCTACTGTATGCATATGGATGACACCATAACCTTCTTGCCCATCTCTGACATTTAATTAAACTCTACATGGCAGTCTTTAAAAAGCAGATGCTTTTGTCACTCTGATTCATTATGAAGAGACATGTTCACCTACAAAACTCAATTATCTCCAACAATATTTCCAGACGACCTTCTTTGGAGAAAGCCTTGACTCTGTGTTACTCTGAAATAACAAATAGTAGTTGACCTATTTTGCATTTACTTTTGAATTTGTCACTTCTGTGAAAGCCACTTACAGTCAATTTCTTCTTTCTCACTGACAAAAAGATATACATTTTGACACCCCTTTTAATAACCAGTTCATTTCACCCAGTCTCATTCCTGTATTCACAAGCAAATATATTCCCTCCTCAATGTTTATACATACAAATTCCTAATTTGTATTTTAAAATTACTTTGTGATTCTTCAACTATATATTCTTTCATATACTGTGTTATTATTGACCAAGATTATGATGTGTAGATAAAGGTGTCTGCTATATTAATAAATGACAAAACACCAGTACACAGAGACAGAGATCTGTAGTCAAATACCAAACTGAAAACCAGTGGCACTGAAGAAAGTAATCCCTACGTCTGCTACCCTGTAGTGCTGAACATGTGACTCACGTGTCTTAATTCTTCCATGACATATGACAAAGCTACATTGTTTACCTCAAGAATGAGAAGGAAGCAATACTGATGTCAAAACAGATTAACCCTCCCCTCAAATAAAAACTCTTGTGTTTATCAATGTGCTAAGAGAGCCTATGTGTGCATTTAGTGGCTTTTTTGAGGGAAACCATACAGGCAATTAGGGAAATGATCACCACTGGTTTCATACCAACTGTTCCGAGGCCACAAGTTTAAGGAACTTTTTGATGAAGTCAATGAGTCCTTGGATAGTTCGGGTTCGCTCCACAGCCCACTTTTTGGTTTTCATTATAGGGGTGTCTCCCACAGCCTTCAGCAGGATGTCAACTGTTTAAAAAAAAAAAAAAGGCTGGCAATTAAACTGAAACAACTAAAAAGAATGTGACATAAGACTTTACAAAACTTGAACCTTTACATATACAATTTATGTATTTATGATACTGGAGGCATGCCCGACAAATAAAAATGTTAGATACAATTATTTTTTCATGATGATTCTGTGGGTTTCTCTCTTGATCCTATAGTCCCACAAGGATTTCCCCATGAAACTAATCTTTAATATAACAGGCAGTTCCAAAGAGAAGAAATATAAATGGCCAATAAAGTTGTATATAAAACAATGTCATATCCTTGTCACCTACCAAACCAGTAAAGGTAAAGGGTGTAGAGATAATACTGCTGGGAATACAAAATGGTGTGCTTTCTGGAGAGTAACAGGGTAATACATATCCAAATATAAAGATGGACTTTGACTCAATAGTACTTCTAGGAATCTAGGCTATGAGATAAAGATAAACTTAGAAAGATAAACTTAGTAACATTTTGCCTTCACAGAAACTTTATTTTGATAGAAAAAAACTGGCAAACCTAAATATCCAAAAAAGGATGCTTAGAGGGGATTGGTTAATAAGAATATTACCATGTAGTATATAATGTATAAAACAGCACACATTCTAAATTTCCTGGGCTAAAAATTCTAGCTCTGGGCCTCCCTCGTGGTGCAGGCGGTTGAGCACAGCACTGTGAAGCTGTCCGCAGCCGCTGCTGTGCCAGTTTGATCCCCAGCCGGCCTCGGAGCAACCCGCATGGCGAGCAGACCTCTCCTGTCTCGCCCGCTGCTCCCCTCAGCAGTGTATTTCATCAACCTGCCCATTTTATTGCCCGCTCTGTCTCTGGTGAATCCTCTTACCCTCCTGCACATCTGGCCTGTACCCTGGTTCTTGTATAAATAAATCTTTAAAAAAAAAATTCTAGCTCTGCCACTTTCTATGTATATATAGCTGAAAATTTTTTTAAATCTGTGCCAGTTTATAAAGTGAGGATAAAAAATACCTACTTCATAAAGTTGTTAAGCGGATTAAATGAGTCAATACCATATAAAGTACTTAGAACAGCACTAGTTCATAACTCACACTTATTGAACATTAAGATTATTAAGTTTTGATTATAAAAGAATTATTATTAAAGTGTATTTTGCAACATATGTATAATATAATCTTAACTGCATTAAAACCATCACAAGCACAGTCACATAGATGTGAATATGCACCAAAATGATTCTGCTCAGTAGTAACCTTACAGGTGAACATAGCTTGTTTTATTTGTGCTTTTTGTAACTACCAAGTTTTTCTACGACAAACTTTTTAATAAAGAAAACTGATAAAAATTTTAAAAAAGGATAAAAAATGATAACTGGGGGCCAAAAAGTTTTTAGATAGAGAAATCACAAGGTTTCAATACAAAACACAAGCCCAGAGACTGTGAATTAGTTTGCTGAAGTTACTTTGCTTAAACACACCCCACCTTCACCAGATGAACTACAATCAAAAGCACCTCTGAAAAGCAAAGTAGTGCACTGCTGCCCCCTAAAGGTAACTGTACTTTATGACATCTTTTTTGTCCCAGTTGGGACCCAATGAGGTCGCAGAGAGCAACTTATTCACATTCAGCCCTCAAATACATGCAGCTAAAGTTTATCTTCCATATGTCACTTCATAATTATCTTCTGTTATCTACAAATTAGGGATGGATTGGGAGATAACTGAGGCGGTTTTAGTTAACTCACTCTTTACCTCCCCTTCCCTCTCCCTCAAATCTCCAGCTGTCAAGGACTCAGCTGCAATTAGGCATTTTAAGAAAGTGAAGTAGCAAATATGAGTTTTACTACTGACAGAGGAAGTAAAGATAGAGAAGACTAAGTATTTATTGTAATTATAGCCATACCTTTAAAAAAATTTTCTAAAGGTGAATTGCTTGTAGTTCTCAATTCTAGCTACACAGTAGAATCAACTGGGGGAATATGTATAAGAATACAAGTGTACACATCAGGACCTTTTTGTAAGTAGGTGTTGGGACTGGTACTTACAAAAGCACCCTCTTCTGCCCCCTTGTGTGGCCAGGACTAACAATAACCTTATCGATCTGCTTCACTGATTAAACCAAAATAAAGGAAAATTTCAGGGCAGAAATTCAGTACCTTGAAACTGAATTTTATGGGACAAACTCAACAGCTCAAAAGAACCAGAAATGAATACCCAATTGTTAAATATTGGTTAAAATACACATAAATTGTTCAGACAAAAGACAACATGCCACATGACCTCAGGCCACACTCAGGTTGTGAGCCATTATTTTTTAGCCCCTGTTTCACAAACTTATTTTCAGGGTCCAGTAATAGACTAAGACCGAGAACTTGACCCCTTTGAAACTCCTGCTTATAGTAAACAGGAAGAAAAAGTGGAACAAAAATCTCTAAAACTCATGGGATTCTTGTGAAGAGACAAGCAGATAAGTTATTTATAAAAATACTAATCAGTGTCTATTTCTGTTATTGCATCACCTAGAAACAACACATTTCCCCCAAATGCACAGGAAGTCTGACTTAAAAGGGGACAGTGATGAGAGAGGTAATTATCCTCTACAGGAGCAGAAACTTAAGTTCCATAAAAGAAGGTGCGATCACCCAGCAAAAAATATGCCACACATATATCTAAGGACTGTGGAAGGGGCAAAAGTCTCTGAGACCTAGGATCAACCTCTTGAAATAGATCCGGTTTTGCACCTTCTCTCATAGGCAACTCTACATAGAGTTCTTCAGGTCAAGTAACATTTGGAATTTCTGCATTTCACAAAGTTGAACTGACTGTCAAGCATTAAAGGGCTGAGGGCAGCTAGTTCTGGAAATGGCATGATTAGCTTACAAAGGTTCGGAAATGATCTTTAAAAATGCCCAGGCCTTTAGCCTTCCCTGTATTTGGTAAAATTCCATTTTTAAGTTTTTCTGGTGCAAGAACTAAATTTACATGCACTTGATAAAAAAAATAGCTAACTGATCGGGTTCTAGCGCAGACCTTGCCAACAGCCAAATCTATCTTTCATTTACAATTATTCAGGGCCTCGCTGGTGGCGCGAGGGGTTAAGCACTGCACTATGAAGCAACCCGCAGCCTGTGCAGCACGAGTTCGATCCCCAGCCGGCCAGGGAGCTACCCACATGGCACGGCAGACCTCTCCTGCCTCGCCTGCTGCTCCCCTCAGCAGTGTATTTCAGTCAGTCTGCCTGTTCTGTTCCCCACTCTGTCTCTGGTGAATCCTTTCATCCTCCTACCCCAGCTTGTACCCCAGCTCTTGTATGCATAAATAAATCAATCTTAAAAAAAATTATTGTTCAAATCATCAGCTCCTGTGTTAAGTATTTGGAGCTACCGAGACGCGGCTCCTATCCGGCGCCTACAGCGCAAAGGTACATCCAGAGACGTCTTTCCCGAGAAGCACTGAAAGCCTCGAAAGTACAATTCCTCTCTCCTAACTGGGCAAAAACATTTGGGGTGCGCCAGCCTCTAAATCTTGCTTCTGTCCTCGCCCCGACCCCTAAGTCGGACGCAACCCCCTGTCAGCCCACTGAGAAACTGCTTTCCAAATTACTTTTTTTTTTGGTGTCGCCGGCAGGTTCCTCCGTCCCCGGGGAGACTGCAGCAGAAGAAGGGGGCTCCGGAGTGGCTGTTTCTGGGGAGACCTCGGTGGGTCCTTCGCCTTCAGCAGCACTTGCTGGACAGAGCTGCAGCGCCGGCTCGGGCTCCTCCGCCATCTTGCTACGCGGGCAGCGAGCGCGGAAGTGGTGCGTCAGTGGGCGGGCTTTGCGTCGGGGAGCGTCACTAAGGAGGCGCCTGAGAAGCGTGGGTGATTCGTCTCAATAGTACACGTCGCACTTGCCGCCTGGGCCTCGGAGTTGAAATTGCCGCAGACCCCTAAACGTCGACATCGCCACCGCAGCTTCCCCTTTGCCACAAGCCCCCGGAAGCAGTCGTTGGGCCGGGGCGCCGCGCCACGCCCAGTGCGCAGGCGCGCTCGGCCGAGGCTCCCGGCCGGAGATGTTTCCGCTTCCCTCCGCGTCTGCCCCGCCCTCCGCGCCTCGGCCCGCCCCCCGGCCCCGCCCCGCGGCTCGGGGGCGCGCGCGCGCGTGCGGGAGGGGGCGGGTGGGGAAGGCTCGCCGGCGAGATCCTGAGGCGAGGCTCGCGCGCCCGCCCCCGCCCCGGCCCCTGCGCCCACCCGGTCGGCCCGGCCCAGCCATGATCAAGGCCATCCTCATCTTCAACAACCACGGCAAGCCGCGGCTCTCCAAGTTCTACCAGCCCTACGTGAGTCCCCGCGCCGCCGCCCGGGGAGGGGGCGTCGTTGGCGGCGGGCGGCTCCGCGGGGAGACCCCCTCAGGCGCGCGCGGCCCTTGGGGCGCCCCGGCTGCCTCGCGCCCCCGGGCTGTCAGCCGGCGGCGGGGGGGGGGGCGGGGTGAGCCGGGCGCCCCCCGCCCGCCGCGCCCCCCGCGCGCGCCCCGCGCGTCCCCCGCGCGCCCCTCGCGCGCCCCGCGCCCCCAGCCTCCGACGTGGCTGTGCCCGGGCGGCTCCTCGCCTCTCTGTGGACTGACCGGTCGCGGGGTGCGGGCGCGGCCCTGGGCACTTCCCGGTGGGGGCCCCTCGCCCGTCGGGCAGCCGCTGCCCACCCGCGCCCGCAAACTCGGGGCGCGCTCGCTCCGAGGAGCCGCCAGGAGACGGGCGCGCAGCCCCACCCCCCCGACTCCCAGCCTTTCCCCGAGGGCTCCTTTCTCTTGCTCGGGGCGCAGGTGGGCCCCGGCTTTCCAGGGGCACCCGCGGGGGCGCGCAGGAACTTTGGGGTGCCTGCGTTTGCAGGGCTGCACGCCCAGGGCAGTCAGGGCTGGGGGTGACGCGGGTGTCTCCTCGGGAGAAGGAGAGGTAAGTGGGGACCGCGGGGCGCGTCGGGCGTGTCCCCGCGCGGCTGTCATGTATGGGCTCCTGCAATCACTGGCCACGTTTGCAGGGACGGGTCGGAACCCGGACTCCACCTGAAAGTTAGGTTTGCAGCGGCTGCTTCGGCTTTTTTCTCGGGAAGGGATGGGACCTCGGTTGTGGTTTTTCCTCTGACTTGTGAAGAAATCATAATCTTCTGGAGCTCTTCGGGGTGGAAATATTGGTGATAAATGCAGGAGAGCTTGAGGTAGTAAAAAATCAGTCTTTTGAGGGTGACCGAGAGAGGGGTTGTGGGCATAACTGGCTGAGGACACAATTCACTACGACGAAAAACACATAAATTTGAGCTCTCAGCGGGAGGGTTAAGGTGGACGTATAACTGTTGTGCAGAATGGGGACATTTTGCTTCTAGCCAAACAGTAGGTGTCCTGACTTTCAGTTAAATGCTGAAATTGGACCAAGGCTGGTGCTCCTGTCAGTTCCCAGATGGAAATCATTCCTGCCATTAAAAATTAATTGTGAAAATGTCACTTTGCTTAAGATAATGTAGTCTGTGGAGGTGTTAGTTGAAGTGAGAAATACTGAGCTTTTTCCCTCTGTTTCTTTAGTTTTAACTAGCAATAAACGAAGATTTTCTATTCCTGTTTGGTGTTGGCATAGTGTGATTGAAACACGAATGCTCTCCTTGAGAATTCTGCATCATTCTTTGATCCAGGATAAAATTCTAGGCGATCATTCTGAGTGAAACAAATGCCCTTAACTTTGCAGTGTTGCTCATTTGACTAAGACGTGATACTAGCTTTTATTGAAGCAGTCTTTCTCTTAACCATTTTGCCTCTGCCCTCTGTTTTTGGTGTAGAAAAGGTATGTTCCAATAGTGAAGCAATTCAAAAATGGTTTTTTCCATTTCTGTGCTTAATTCAAAATAGTGGGTGTCTTGGTTCTTTATGACATCCGTGTAACCACTCCTATTGTGTGGAATTTAACCATCTGCAGAAAAGTGTTTTTAATTAGGAAATCTTGGGCTACATTCAACAATGGGAGCAAAAATATCTTTTACCTTTACTCAGTAGGTAGCAGTGAAGGTTAACGTGGGGAGAGGCAGTTCTGGCAGCACCTGAACGCAGAAATTTTTTTCATTCCTTTATTCCAGCAGTCAGTTTGTCTGCAAATACTGATTTCATGCTTACCATGTGCAGGCTGGACTTCAAAATCTGGAGATGAACGCACTTAATTTCTGCTCTTTCAGCAGGGGAAAGACAGCCACTAAGTAGGATATATAACATGTCAGATAGTAATAAGCACTGTGGAAAAAAACAAAGCAGGAGAGGGTGATAGGAAGTGGAAGGATAAGAATTTAAAATAGCAGAGTGTAGGTAAATTCTCACTAAGAAGACTTGAGACAGGCAAGAAGACTCATTCCAGGCAGAGGGAGCAGCAGAGGCAAAGGCCTCAAGGAGGGAATGCCTGTTTGTAAGACAGACTATGAAGAACCAGAGAAGACTGGCATGGCAGGAGCAGGCTCTGTCAGGGAAATGAGGAACGAGACACGATTGAGAAGGGAATCTCTACCTGAAATGTCCTTCCCTTGCATTGCCAAATGTCCAGGTTCAACCCCTTTTTCCACTGAAACATCACTTAAGCATTCCCTAGAGTCTTTCATCTTGTTGATAGAGTTCTCTTAGTTCCTAGGATTTTACTTTGATGTCTTCACTGGACAGACTTCTGTTTCACTGCCCGCACGTCCCTGGGGCATTCCGTAGATTCCTGGAGGAAAGGTGTCCGGTTTTCAGTATCCCCGAGTCACCCCATCAATAAAACGTTGTGTCTAGAATATGGAAGACTCAGTAAATCGTCAATAAATGCTTTCAGTAGAGCCTCTTGGCTTGAGGTGGAGTTTGCACCAGAAGTAGCCTCCAGGGTCCCTTTCCAAGTCTTAAAGTTTAGTCCTTCATTACGTAGAGGTTCAGGAATAAATAGATTCCTTTAGGGAAGTAACGATGGAATAGCTGTTACTTCAGTTGTTTCTGTTTTCACTTGAAAAAAGTCTGTGAGAAATACATATCCAATGAGATGGGAGGCTGAGTTTAATTTAGTAAGCAGTATCAAGGTGTGTCAGGGTTAATACTCGGCGCCCTGCTAGGATGCTGACATTTGCGTCCAGTGATAGTGGTTTGACACTGAGAAGTCTGTAAACGGTTTAACCATTTTCCAGCCAGTTTCCCTTGCTGCACCAGATTTCCGTTCCTCATTTATACTCCACCATGCTATAACAATTTATATGCTCGTTTTTAAAAAATTTCTTCAGTCAGGGCTGGTGACAAGCAGAGCGACAATGTCATTGTCTAATAAGAGTGTGGAGATTATTATTTTTGGGAGGGTTACATTTTTCCTCTTCCATATGTGCCCATATTCTACTCATCTTCCACCCAAACCCTGTATGTTCATCTTTAGCCTTCTGACATGCAGATTTCCATTTCCTGCTGTGGTAGCTTTTTACATTTGATTGTGCCTCAAAGCTGTTACGATGTGTGAGATACGAAGTCTCACACATATTTTGCTAAACTGAAGTTTTTGTTTTATTCTGCTAGAGTCAGGCATTAGGAAGAATTCAAGGTAGACTCAATACATCCTCTTTTATTTTGCTGTCTGTATCCTTAAGCTGTAACTGCTGAAGTTCAAATGTTTTTCTTAGTTTAATTGTCTCCTTAATTGATACTTAGCCACAGCGACTTGGCAACAGTGAACTGTAGTCTTTTAATATGTGCCCGGCAGTCTATGTATATTAAAAAGACAGAGACTTGTATTTCATAAGCCAGGTAAATTTTTACAGACCCATCAGAACAAGGCCCTTGGGTTACGATTTCTGTGTTTATTAATGAACTGTGGCATATTCTGTGGTGCCACACTTTAATGTGGTACAGATGTTTTTCTTTTATATGAATTGTCTTAGTTTTTTCACAGATGTAAAAAAATTGTTTGTATACATGCATGCATGAGTGCGTGTGCACACACACACACATACAAAGTGCAAATAGGTGAGTTTTCAAACTGTTACCTACATGGATTTTTAACATTTTCTTGAAACTGTGTCTGATTATTACTTTAATCAAATCCAAGCTCTAGAATAAACTCTAAAATTTTTCTTTCCTTTTTTGAATTAAAAATTTTTCTTTCTTGGGCCTCCCCAGCTGCGCAGTGGGTTGAGCGCTGCGCTGTGACTCTGTCCGCAGCCTCTGCAGTGCAGGTTTGATTCCTGGCCGGCCAGGGAGCTACCCACATGGCCCAGCAGACCTCTCCTGTCTCGCCCACTGCTCCCCTCACCAGTGTCTTTTGTCAGTCTGCCTGTTCTGCTCCCCACTCTATCTCTGGTGAATTCTCTCACCCTTCCGCGCCTCTGACCTGTACCCCAGTTCTTGTATAAATAAATAACAATTAAAAATTTTTTTCTTTCCTTTTTTCCTTTTTGGACTTTTTTTCTATAAAAAAATATAAAGTATTGAAATTATAACTTTTTCTTTCCTTTTTAAAAGTCCCTAAGAAAGATACATCCTATGTTTATTGTTGTCTTTTTTTAGTGACTGTTAAGAAAATGTGGCAGATGGGATAAACTAATTTCTGTGAAAAAGATATAATTGCCAACAGTATTCATTAAGGTATTAACATATATTAACACAGAGTATTTGAGCTGTCTTGTTAAGAAGATAATTCCAAATGAATTTATTTCCTTCCATATTGGTTAGGGTGTTTTTAGCTATGTAAATAGGATTTCATGTAGTTTGACTCAAATATGCTTAAAAAGAACTGTGTTAGAGTATCTTATAGGAAGCATAAAGTAATAGATTGAGCAAATCAGCAAAACATCCAGTTTCTTTCTTTTTCTTGCTCTTCACAAAGCTGATATGCAGAGGTCGATTATCTTCTCAAAATCGGTGGTGATCAGCCCACAAGGAAAGGGCAGTCTCTTCCCGCGTCTCTGACTGTCCTTTTCTTCAGTTTGGTTTCTGCTATCCAAGACCACTAACAGCTATCACTAACCATGATCCTTTGGAGCTGAGGAATACGGTGAAAATATGGATAAAGTTGATACTCTCTTGGAGAGGTGGAAGAGAGGGGTGGATGTTGGGTGGGCAGCCAAGTGCCCATTATTCTACTTCATTATCTCACATTATTTCTTTTGGATACATACTAATTTTTCTATCTATAATTTTATTACTTCTGAGCTTGCTGATACCAGGAATGGCTCTTGATAATATATGGTTCTGAATAGGTCCCAAAAATATCCTAGTTCAAGGTATCTCTTGTATCAAAAAAATCATTGAAAAATTCAAATCATAGTATGATCATAAATTTCATCGGTAGCATGCTTGATGACT